ATATATATATATATTATACATATGACATTGTGATACTGGAGTCCTTTACATACTTGTCACTAGTCATAACGTCTGCGAAGAGTTGAAAGAGTGACTATATAATAGAAAGAAGAGTGTACGCAAAGTATAAATGCTAAATCTGTAAATCATGAACTAATTGGAATCAAGGATAATGATTGGGGATGTAAAGCACTTCATAAAGACACGTGGAGTACAAAGTAACTGACTCATCCCAAAGGGCCGTAACATAATTACCCCGGTATTTAAAAAAAGCCGTGAAAATTAACGTCAGGGTCACCTCTGTGTAGTAAATATTGAATCACTATTTAAGTTTAAAGTGTTTTGTCCCAGACATTTAAATGGACTTATTTGTAAGGTATACTCAACGGCTCCTGCCTTCCTAATCTAAGTACCTTTAGAGGTTGTAAAGTGACAAATATTTTAAGTAAAAATAGAACGCACTTGTATATTACTCGCCCTCTTGGCATCAAGTTACATAGCGTACTTTATTTACAAACAATTATGAAAATCTTGCAGATGTGATCGAAAGTCTTACGTCAAAAGAAAGTACGAAAAAGTCATTACAGGAGTAAGAATAAATTTTTTTAAATATTTCGATGTTGAACGTAAATCAGAAAACGATGAAAAAGCAGAGAATTTTGATGAAATTATTAAAAATATAAGGGATCTTGTAAAACCAGAAACTAAAATGTAAATATATAATAATTCATGCAAATAATTGATGTATTTGAGACTCGTGGTTTGAAAAATTGTATTTTTTTATTTCATTGTTACTTTTAGAAAAAAATTGATTATTTATTAAGTATTTTGCAAAAAAATGGGGTGAACCAAAGATTTGAGAAATCTTTCATGTTGGACCAAGTTTTATTTGGAATACAAAAGCAATGCTAAAAGAAAACGTCAATGATGATACTGTTTATGAGAAAACAGAAAAATCAGAAAAATCGACTGAAATGAAAAAAGATGTTAATTTTTATGTACAAGAAGACAATTCTCGTCAATTACCTGGAAAAGAAGGTGTCAAATCTGTTATGTATTTAAATAGAGAAAGGCATTTAGTGCCAAAGAAGTAAATATTATTGAATTTGAAAGAACTATTAGAAAAATTTAAAACAGAATATCCCGATCACAAAATTGGTTTAACATCATTCACTCTTTTAAGACCTCAACATTGCGTATTGGCTGGAAATAGTGGCACAGATACAGTGTGTGTTTGCATGTATCATTAAAATATTGAATTAATGTTGGACGATAAGAACTTTTCATGAATTTGTTTTAAGAATAAAAAATTACTTTAAGAATAAGATATTAAAATAGAATACCATTTAAAGTTTTTATATTATTTAAAAAGTAATTAATTAACAATTCGGGCTCCAATCAAACAAACAAAATTTACGGTTTCATTCATTTTTCATTGTCTATTATTTTTAGGAAGTAAATTATTCTCATTGCTCGAAAATAACGAATGGATTAACAATGCAGGTAATAATAAATCACTTTACAATAAGTTGCTCTTGACACAGGTGTTCAGTGATCCAACAGAAGAGTATTTTTCTCGAAAATGTAAAAACTGCCCACCAATAGACGATTTAAGACAACAATTACAGCAAATTTTCGATGGATCATCAATGACAAAAATTTCATATAAATTTTTGTGTATCGAAAAACGATGTACACTACTAAAAGTAATGAGCAATATTAAAGACTTTATTGAGACCTTAATCAAACGTTTAGAAAAATTGGTGCCTCATGACTTTGCTTCGAAATCACAAAGTTAATTTTACATTGAACTGAAAAATAACTTGAAAGAAGACGAGTTTCTATTTGTGCTTAATTTTTTCAAGAATTATGCATTTATTTTTCAAAACACAGCTTCAGTTTTTCACTGGAACAACAGTAAGTGCACAATATTTCCAAACAAAATGGTAAGCTGAAAAATATTATCATGATTTTCCTGTCACATCGTCTCACACATAATACAGTTGCTGTCTACATGTTTTAAACAAAAAAAATTAGTTACTTAAAGAGTAGACTTACAGGGATTAATAAGGTTTTTTATTTTTCTGATGGCACTCCACAACAGTTCGAAAATGAGAAAGCTTTTAAAAATCTATCATTGCATCATAAAGATTTCGGTATCCATGCAGAGTGGCACTTTTTTGCCACCTTTCACTAAAAAGGGGCATGCGACGGATTAGGAGCAACAATCAAGTGCAATGCATCAAGAGCTAGTTTAAGAAATCAAATTACTTTGAACGCTCTCTTCTTATATAAGTACGCTCAAGATAAGATGAAAAGTGTTGAAATTTTTTTTGTGCCACAAGATGAGTACTTGACTTACTTTAATTTTCTCAAAACAAGATTCTTAAATCCTAAGACTATTAAGAGTACTTTAAATTATCACACGTTCATATCCTGCGAACACAATAAAAATCTTATTGTTAAAACCATTTAAAACTCAAACCTAAAGTAAAAAAATTGTAATCTAAATGAAAAAACTCTTATTTTTCAATTATCAAAATCTTATAATAAACATTACCCTTTCATGTGAAATTTGGTCATATAATGGATTATAAGGTGTCAGAAAAAACAACTTGTTATGTAAATGTAAAATATGAATGCTGAATATTTGTTGTTCGGTAAAAAATTAGTTTTGATAGAAAAACTTGAGTACTACGTTTTTCAACGTTTGATTTTGAATTTTTTCACCTAAGTTCCAATGCAAATTACCATTTTTTATAACTGTTTTTTACGTAAAATTTTCAGCTTTTTCTGATAGTGAACTCAGATTTAAGCAAACTTGACAGGATAACACTGAAAAATTGATTTTTTTCAATAGTATAAATACTTTTACAGTATTCATGCAGATGGGACAAAATAGACATAGCTATTGAAAAAACAGGAAATTTTACGTCGGTATAAGGTTTGAAAAAATTCTTTTAGTAATATTAAAACCATCAGAAAAAATTTTGAAAAAAACGCATAGTTTACAAAACGGTCCATAACTATGGCTGTACTTGATATTTTTGGCTAAAAATAGATGAGTTAACTCAGCAGATGATAAAAAGTATGTGGTTGAATTTTAAGCGAATTCTGAGACATCAAATAAGAATTGCTCGAGAATTTTTTGATTTTACCCATCAATATTACTTGTACAACTCTTCGAGTCATATTAAAATTTTCAATTTATGAACAAGTATTAGAATGATATTAAAATATATTTATTTTTATAGTTTTTCTTGCTTAAAAGATCCAAATCAAAATAACCAGACAACGTAAGACCTACATTTGCAGTGGGCTACCACTTTTGACGCAAGAAGAAAAATTTTAAGTAATGAAAACAAAAAAATCGATACGATTTAAGAAAATCTCGATAACTTTCCGTGTACTTGTCCACCTCTTGGAATTTTTTTAAGGCATTGTAAATTGTTAAATCCTGTTCGATTCTAGTATGATTAGTTAAACTATATGTTATTTATTTTACGTTACATTTAAAATTAGAATTTCAAAAATAACAAATATCTTTGTAAGAGCCTCAGTTATTTGTCTTGAGCTAGAGAATTTGCATAAAATATTTTGTCAAAAAGTGGCCAGCTATTTTAAGCAAGCTTCTGGACTATTTTAGAAAATCAACGATTCAAGATATAAAATTTTTTAAATTGCATTCATATTTAATTAATAAACTGAAGTAAGTTACTAAATAGTACAAGAAGAAGTCGATGACATGTCTGATTTGATAAAAAGTATTACTCTGACAAATTAAAAAAAAAAAATGTTACTATTTTAATGGGAAAAAATTTAAAGATAAACTGAAACAAATTGAATGCATGTGTCACGTACAGTATGCAACATACTACGTGGGATGGGCCTCAGCTATTTGTATTAGGAAGGAGCAAGGACAATTCCCTTAAGGAATATAGCAATAAAGTAATTGATTAAGTTTAACTGCCACGTTGTTATTTAGCACCCTG